CTTCAAAGAATCCACACTTTGCTTCCCGAGGGAATCTCTCCACAAAGATTCCATGGTTTGATCCCAAATTAATTAATTAATTGATTAATTTAGGAAATTGGTATCATTAATCTTAATTATATTTAGTGCCTGGTGAGTAAGCAACGACTTCCAAGTCAATTTTGCCAATTTACGTCAGTTTGAATCTGTGTTTGGTGATCCATGTGCAATTGATGTTAGCTAAAGGTGGGTATCATGCCGAGTGACCCGGTATGTTCGGTTCTGTTATTTAAATCGGGTCAGGGCGGGCCAAGAAAGAAATAAAACCAAATCAGAAAGGGGGAAAAAACACAAGTGAGAAAAGCTTAAAAGGCAAGACAAGGGCAAGCATCATACTGATAACATTAGATCTGATAAAAGGAGCCAATCACTCAAAACGTAGTAAATTAAAATTTAAATTTTTGCTGTGAGAGATATTCATATTTAATATTCGATAATATATCAAATTTTTAATAGAAAATACCTATGAAAAACTAAAAAAAAAATGAATAAAGGCTATCTGAAATTTGTTAAGAAAACTATATTTTTCTTCTGAAAATTTGGTCTTCCTCTTTGAAATTTGGTGGAGATAATTTGGGGAAAATGAAAGTTTCACATCATGTGTCCATATTAATTATATACTCCCACTGGTTCAAAATATAAGTAGTTTGCAATAATAATCTACATACCAATGAAATCTTTATTTTCATGAAAATACATATTAATTTCCCTTTTAATTTTACCTTTAATCTCAATTACCAATGATGAGTGAGAAGAAGGAATTCATGTAAGATCATCCAAGTTAATAAATATAATAACAACAACAACAAGCCTTTATCCCACTAGGTGAGGTCGGCTACATGGATTGCAAGACGCCATTGTGCTCTATCATTTATCAAGCTTTTAGGAATATTATTAATTAAGAGATCGTGTTCAACAACTTCCAAGAGTGTTCTCTTAAGCCTTCCTCTACCTCTCTTAATCGGACTCAAAGTTATATGTTCCACTCTTCTTACTGGTGCCTCCCTTGGTCTTCTTTGTACATGCCCAAACCATCTCAATCGATTTTCTACCATTTTTTCCTCAATAGGTGCCACCCTCACTTTTTCACGTACGTGCTCATTTCGAATTTTATCTTTACGTGTATGTCCGCACATCCATCGTAACATTCTCATCTCTGCTACTCCAACTTTATGCTATTGCTGTCCCGTTAGAGCCCAACATTCACTACTATATAACATTGCCGGTCTGATAGCAGTGCGATAAAACTTTCCTTTAAGTTTATTAGGCACCTTACGGTCACAAATAACTCCTTTAGCTTTTCTCCAATTAAACCACCCAACTTGAATTCTATGTGAAATATCTACACTGATTTCGCCATCATTTTAAATAATGGCTCCCAAATATCTAAACTTCATGATAGATTCAACAAATTTTTACATTGGCTGTTGATGGCTTGACACAACCCTCCTCCTTTACCCGGGCTTGGGACCGGCTATAAATATAGGCGGAGTTAAGTTAATAAATATAATAAGTAAAATAAAAAAAATCTACAACTATTAAATTGCTTATATTGTGGATCAATATTAGCTTAAAGAAAATGTTTATATTTTAAATGAGAAAGAGTACGATGTCTTTCTCTTTAATGAAATATGTTGGTGATTTTCTACCATTTGTTTAATTCTTAAAAAAGAGAGGTAAAAAAAAAAAAAAAGAGCACTTGCAACTCTAGGCTAGTCTAGAGAGATTTGAATTTAATGCGCTATGTTTTTAGCTTAATTTTATTCAAACAATTTTTAGTACCCGTTTTGATCCATCACATATTGTTCCACTATGTTATCTAACCTAATTGTCAGAATAATGTCATTTTACCTGGTGGAAAAAACATGATAACATCTCTTTTGTATACGATCATATGATATTTAGTATTGCCTACTATATAATCCATAAGCTTTAAATTCTCCTGAGATGCATTTTTAATCAATAAGATTTAAATTCTCAATTTTATTTAATAATTGTCAAATCTCCATTCGATCCAACCTTTTATTGACAGAGACACAATTTTTTTTTTTTTTTTGGGTAGAACTCATTTCTTCCCTTCTATTAATGTGTTACACTAGAGTGTTTTTAAATTTATTGGTTATCATACAAGGAACTTAATAAAAGATCTAAATGATTGATTATTATGAATAAAAATAAAAATAGTGGGGCAGCAAAATTTAAAAAAGTGAAGACAATAAGGAATGGAATTCGATTCTATTGTACCTCAATCTGAGTGCTCTATGACTCATCCAATTTTCAATTAGAATCTAAACCCTAAATTGTTCACACACAAATTAGACTTTCCCAAGTAGAATCCTAAATATGATTATATATATATATATATTAATTAACTTTTATAATTGACTGATACTTGTAGTCTCTTTTAATTTAGTAACATTTACCATTGAAGGATGTTTAAGTCAACTTGTACATATTTTAATTAATTCAAACTTTAGAGATGGACTTATAGGCCCCCAAAAAAGAGACATATTAAACTATGTATGCATCACCTAAAAAGATTATGAAGTTCTACCCCAAAAAAAAAAATATAAGTTAAAATTAAATCATGTGAATCTCACATTTATCTAATTAGAAATTTTTTTATATAATTGAGGTCAAGCATTAAGCAATCACATCTCAACCATGAAAACCTAGCTTAACTTAGCTAATGTTTTTATTTTTATTTTTTTTAAAAAAATTTCAAGAATATTGATTGATTTTATGAATGTATTTTTCTTAATGTATCTCATGTAATAAGTTGATGTTCTAAATTATTACGAAGATTTCACACACACGCGTACACCCACAAGCATACACATTGTACTTAATAAAAATATCTTAAATTTTTGCTCACATTGTCATCGTTAGATGACTATAAATAAAAATGAACTAGTGAGTCCAAACTTTATACAAATTTAAGCCAAATAAGTACCAAACCAATTCTAATTCACAAAAATTTGTCTAAGGTGTTTCACGGTGAATAACAAGCTAAGATAATTAATACTCAACTCGCGCTACTCTTTTAATTTGTAAATCAAATTAGTAACATTAATCTCATTTGCTTTAACTAATTCACTTTCACATATATTTCTAGTGTATTCAAAGAGGCCACAATTATGTTTTGGCAAAAAAAAAAAACACAGACTACAAGATCTCCATGCAATTGGGAAAGTTGTAGAGATCATATCCTTTGAGAAAAATACTAATATTGAATATTTGATTAAATTTAATTTAGCTTTGCCTGGCGTTAGTGATCACTTTTTATGTAGATACTCTTGCTTGCTTAGATGCACTATTCAACTTTTTGATTGAAGACTCCAAGTATCTATTTGAGCATCTTAATCTTATCTTTGAAGAACCATTGCTAAATGCTCTAAGGTATCCGATTATTGCATTTATAGAGACCTCTCAATTTTATTATTTTGCTTTGAATATAATTTTCGTGAACAGTACTACTCTACATATAACTGTTTTCTTGGCATCTTTTAATTTTTTTATTTAAATATTATCTATGAAGAATTTTAGTTAAAGATCAATGTAAAAAATTAATTTCAGGTTAGTCCAAACTTTTTTTAAAATTTTAGTTCAGTTCATGAAAGAAAAGTCAAAAAAATTTTAATGATAAGAAGACCAAAATAACTTTCACTTGTTATGCAGAATCATTAATTGTTAATTTTTTTTACTTCACTTGTTAATTTACAAATATGAGTTACAAATCACATGAATTAATATGTCAATAATTATGTAAGACTTAACATCAGTTTTGTAATCATAAGTGGCAACATCAATTGTAAATTATTGATAAGTTTTATAACTTACTAACATCAATTATGAATTACTAACAAGTCTTATAATTTACAACTAATATTAATAAATTAATAAGTAAAGTTAGTAAATTAACAACTAATATTACTGATTGTCTAATAAATGAATGTAATTTACAAGTGATATTAGTAAATTAACAAATGCAGTGAGAAAATTAATAACTAGTAATTTTTCATAACAAATAAAGGATATTTTAATTTTTTCACCGTTAAAATTTTTTTAACTTTTCTCCTTTAGATTGAACTAAAATTTAAAAAAAAACCAAAATTAAATCCACATGAAATTAATTCTCAACCTTAATTGAAATTCTCCCTATTATATATTTGATATTCCTCTCTAAACTTTGCCTTAAATCCCAAGATTCTGGATAACAACCATGACCCAAGTTGGTAAGTTCTTTGCGTTGAAACATCCCCTTCCATGAGATTATATCATGATAAATAATTCTACCCATATCTTGACCAGTCAAGGTACTACCATGTTTGCAGAATATAGAGAAATTAAATATTTTGATGACGAAAAATTATTGCTTTTTTTGTGCAACTTTCTAATATCTAAATGTATTTGGTTATATTCAAATATTAACAATTAACAATTAAATCGAAAGTAATTCTTCCGGTCTTATTTTTTTCCATCCCCAAGCAAGGAGAATCAAGTACTTTTTACTTGATGTTACCATTATTTTTTACTTTAAAAAGTAATAACAAGAGATTAAATAAAAAATATATATGAGCAGTCATTACAAAATACTTCCCCTTAGTCTCGGACATTTTTCATATAGATTAAGAAAAATTGTTAAATTGCTTTTTTTATTCAAAAATATCACAATATTGCAATTATACCCTTGTTAATTAAAGGGAATATCAGCATATCTTGTTCAAATTGCAAGAAATCTATTAAAATTATAAGGATAAAAATGGAATATCATTTGATAATTTAACTAGACATTTTATAATTTTGATCAACTTTTATACTCAATTCACAAGTAGACAGGGGGGGTCACTGATATCTCTTAAATATACAAGTCTCAATATTTTTCTAATTAATTGAGATTCTTGGAGATTATAGGACCTCCTTTGAAGTTCATATGAGATATGATAGAGCAAACTAAAAAATTTACTCAAAATTCCAACTTATGGTATTCACACGGAACTTGTAAGAGAACATAGTGTGCTGGACCCGAAAAGAAAGGAGTGATGATTCTAGCAATTAAAGCTTCAATACAAGAGCCATATAGCTATCATCAAGCATGAGAAAAGTGGTGAGGAGAAGAAGAATGCATTTGGAAGACCATGTTCTGAGTTTGAGGTCCAAAGTAATTAGAAGAGTCATGATTATTAAGAAGCGCACTTCTATGCAGATTCTGGCCCTGATCTCTTATCCCATACGAGTTAACCCCATAAGGATTAAACCCCATAATTCCTCCTCCTGCATTTGCCTGGTTCCATTGAAAATGCGCTTGACCTAAAGTAGTAGCACTTGGATTTGACTCCTGCTTTATGTTACATCCATTGTTGTTGTTGCTGCTGTTTCTGCTGCTGTTATTGTTGTCTTCTAAAGAGGAAGAAGAAGATGGTGTTCTTGTGGTTTCTGACAGATTCACAGTTGTGATATCATGAATGCTTGCTCTTCTCTTGTCTTTCCCTCCTGAAAGTTGCCTTATGAAGTACTTCTGAGCATGGCTAGCCACCTGAGTCGGTGTCCGAGTCACCACGAAATTGCGCGATATGTTCCTCCAATCTCCTTTCCCATACTTCTTCAAACCCAGAAGGAACAGTCTGTGAAGAATTTCATCAAACAGTTGATACCCACATCACAAATCAGCACAAAACCAACCATACACGAAAGCTTAGAGATCTCAGACAATGAAGTAACCATATCAGATTATCAAGCTCAACAACAAACGTATGTATACATACATATATCATCTATTCAATCATGAGAATTCAAAAAGGAAGAAAAATCTTACTTGTGTTCTTCTTCTGTCCACGGGACACCTTTCTTTCTTTCTTGTTCAGGGGGTCTACCTGATGAGGATCTCTTGCCACCATGATGAGATTTGAAGGCATCAAATCCAGAAGTGTTAACCCAATCTAAGGTGAATTGCGAGGTTGTGGTGCCACTACTATGATAGCCTGGGATTGGGATCAATCCAGCTTCTATATTACAAACATCTTCTTCTAATTCTCTGTACTGCTTAATCACATCTCCTACGGTCTTTCCAGGTATCATTGCAGCAACTTTGACCCACCGATCTGGTGTGTCTTTATCATACACTGCAAGAGCATTCTCAAACAGCTTGTTCTCTGAAGCAGTCCATTTGGTTGTGTTCATGGCATCTTGAATGAGCCATGTGGGGTTGGAGATGTGAGGAGATGAGAGAATATCCATTTCCCACTTCATCATCAAAAATCCAATCAGAAAGAGCAAGTTATTGAAGCATGGAAGTGAATTTGGGAGGATTCAGGAACAAGAGTGATTGATCTCTGGAACTTTCAGTGAATTTTGATAAAGAACAGGGGAGAGAGATGATGATGATGATGAAATGAAGAGGTTTTTTCAACGCAAGAATATTATCAAGGACAAACCCACTAGCATTTTTTTTTATAAAAGGAATCAGAATATCTTTTTGTATCCAAGCACAGGGAATCTGGTAAAACCACTTTAGAAAATAAAAAAGGAAGGGGGAAAAATCCTCAAATTCAGATTGAAACCTATTATCCAGTCACTCCACAGAGAAAACCCTAGAATCACAATTCAGAGATCTGAAGATATTCAACTTCCCACTTGGACGCCAACAGAACAACGCAATGAAGAACACACCCAGAAACACGAAAAAGGAATTAAGAAAATTAATCAGAAAAACCCTCAATTGATATTATAAACAACGTAAAACAACGAATTAGCGAGAGACGCGATAAGGAAACAAGAGAGAGTGAGAGGAAGAAACACGAGGGAGTGAATGAAGCAAGCACCTGAAAAACAGAGAGAGAAAGGAAACCCAGAAAAGACGAAATATATAGAAGCAAGAAGGTAGAAGAAGGAGAAAAAGAAATCAAAACAAAGCTTGCAATAATCTTGAGAGAGCAAAAGGCCAAGAATAAAAAAGGAAGAGATGAATGACACTGGTGAGCTGTGATTGGAGGGTATGTGCTTATAGATACTGCAACTACAGAAAAAGTTGCCTCTTGTTATATGATACACACTCTATCAAGCTTCTGCGCACTTTTTCAAATATTAAATAAATTCATTCAAATGGTTTTATATTTGCAATAAATTAGTTAAGTATTTTTAAACTTATATTATTTTTTATATTTATTTTTTTAATAGAGTGTATCACTTAAAATTGAAAAATTAGGTAAAAAATTAAAAGTATTTTATATTTTTAAACATCTTACTTTAAGAATAAAATATTCTATAGTTTTTTTGATCGAGGGAGTGCACAATATTGAAAATTAAATTAACCTAATATATTGAACTAGTAAACCAGTATTTTGATCAGTTTAATGAAATGCTTTGTCAATGATTGATCTAACTACGCTTCAACTACTATTTTGATCTTTTTTTGGCACATAAGTATCTCATATCTTTCTATTAAAAGCAATCTTATTCAAAGTATTGTGTAGTAGTTAATAAATGTGGTTACCTATCCAACAATAATTGAAATCTTAGTTTATTATGTTGCAAGAGACTAACCTCTTTTATTAGACTCAGTACTCATTGGTTTAACCATTAACATTTAAATTAGTGTTTTGATTGGATTATCAGTCTGATTTTTAATACCTTATACACCTCTCGATTAAAAAATATAAGGTATTTTTTTAGGTAAAATGTTAAAAAATACATGAATCTTTCAAGATGCAATTAATGAAGTTTTTTCAAAAATACCATTGATTATATATATATATATAATTAATAAAAATTTTAATTAAGACATTATATCAAATAAAAATAAATATAAAAAGTACGTGTAATTTTAAAAATAATTAAATAATTAATTGTGAGTGTAACTCAATTAAAAATCTATTATATTTTGAATGAGGGAGTATTAAATATTAATGCATATATGTGTGTGTGTGTGTGTGTGTGTGTGTGTGTGTGTGTCATTTGTTCATTGTATTTGAGTTTATTATATTTCAAATACGACCAGCACATTTAAGAATGAATCATTTGTTTATTATATTTGAGTTTTTTTGGAGTTGCGAAAAGGAACAGGAGTTGCCCATGGCAGCTCATCACAAATAATGGAAGCTCAACTGTTCTGCACTATTCCAGAAAATATGATCGTCCTCATTTGATTTCAATTTATTGCTATTGTTTTTTTATATTTGACTTTTAGCTTGAACTAATTATTAACACACACACACACACTTCTTAATTCCATGCTAATATATATAAGATATTTAAATTAAAAACAAACTAAGACCCTCTGGAATGTAATATTTATTCAATTAATTTATATCTAAAATTGTATACATAAAACTTAACTACACCTATATTTCTTCATGGCCAGTTCTGCTATAAAACTCCATCAAATTTTTATGTCATGAATCAACGAAGTTATTTTGTAAAGGTAATCCAATAATATTGTATATTATCTAAGATAGTCAACCTAGTTGAATATGAGGCTTGATATTGTTAAGGTTATATTGTATGCACAACACTTTAGATCTTTTGACATTGCAATACTTTCAAAGTAATTCTGAAACTAGAAAGGGTATCAAATGTAAGAATGTGAATGTAAGTTTAAGGAATTTCATAACTTGTAAGGTGGACATAGTTATCAAACTCTTGAGTTAACTTTACGAGTTTAACGTTTTTACATTTTTAACTTATAAAATTGTGTTAATTCATTCATAAATTCAAACTAGATATAAACTCAATTAAACTCATGAGTTTACCGTTTTTACATTTATAACTTATAAAATTGTGTCAACTAATTCATAAACTCATATTAAATACAAGCTTGGTTAAACTTATTAAGCTCATCAATTTTTTTTTAGTTAAGTGAGTTAAGTAAATATTTTAAAAAATTCAGTTCATAAAAGTTATAAGATCTGGTTTAAAAAAAATTGAAATGCGAAAAATAATATTAATAAAAAATAAAAATACCAAAAATAAGTTTCCCTATTTTAAATTTTTGATGTCTTGTATATGATAATTTATCAATGTAAACGAGTTTAATTTCAATTATTTATATTTTTAATATATTTAAATTAAATTATAATTGTATTTTAATAGCTATTTGTTAATAGAGGTAAATTCTTACAAATTTATGATACGACTTTATATTCTTATCATGAATCATGAATTTACTTAAAATTACGAGTTTAACAATTTTGAAGGTGAATATAGGGGGAGTAGTTATGCTGACTAGATTTGACCAATGTTTTTGTTGGTTTAAAAAAAAAGATTTGATCAATATTTTTAGAATCAGACCGATTCAATTACTGGAATTAAGAACTAATTAATGTTTGGGCCAGAGAGGAAATCAAAAGGATTGAAGAATTAATCAAGAACTAATTGAATCAATCTCAAATCAATTAAAATTGGTAAAACTGGTGGCTTAGTCACATAATTTTTTATTTTTAAAAATTTTATATCTATATTTTTTAAGTTACAATTTATGCATATTTATAAATAAGTATGGAAAAATGAAGGAAAATGACCAGATATGTAATACTTGTTTGTGTATTTTAAAACTATAAATTATAAATTATGGGATGAGTATATATATTTATTTATATATTAAGTTTTCTCTTTTTTCGGCTGCACTTTTCTCTGATTTCTTACGTTGAAAATATTATACGAGATTTTAATTTCAAGCTAAGCATGCATCAAGTTTTTAACTTTTAATATTTGATTTGACTATTGGCAAATACTCTCTCTATTTAAAAATATAAAATATTTTTAATTAAATTTTACTTTTCAATAAATTAATTTATTATCTTCAAATTAATACTATATTTTTATATTTATTCTTGTTTATAAGTGCATATTTGAATTTCCATTAGCCAAGAGTCAACTTATCAAAAGTTCATGTGGCAAAAATTAATTTATTAAAAGTCAATTATTATAATATAATTTATATTTAAATATATCTTTTTAATCAGTTTGGTAAATTAAAATTTGTTTTGATTATCTATGGTAAAATGTGCTTTTAAATATATAATTATCAAAAAGAAGGACACTAATTTGAATTGATTTGTAATTTTTGTTATATAAATGTAATATATTAAAAGTGTTTAAAAATGGGATAAAAATTTTAAATAATGTAAACTTTAATAAGTTAAATAATGAAAAATAATCTACGTATACAGAATATATTATACACACACAAGAACAATTACTTTACTCCAATATTTCATTGTTTTAATCGTTAAAATATCTGAGCATATGAATGCAAGCTTTAATAATCTCATGCTATTTAATTAGTAAATATACATGAATAACACTATGACATTTTCGAAAGAATCGGTAATTGAAAGGAGAGGAAATTTAAAGAAAAGGATTTGTCATCCTGTGTCCAAGTGTTTTTTTTTTTTTATAAGGGTATTACGGAAAAATAATTGGATAGATAAATCTCATTTGCAAAATCAGTTTAAAAAATTGAAAAAAATTATGTCGGCCAAATGTGAATCTAATAGTATGGCCAAGGTATTTTAGGATTCATTTTTATCTTTTTATAAACTTTTAACGTTAGAAAAATTTTTGGCACTTTCCTAAAGTTAAAAGCTTGTTTATTAAATGGGACATGTCTCACTTTAAAATAAATATAAAATAATATATTTATTAGAAAGTATTTTAAAAAAATATTAATTATTTATTAAAAATTAAAAATGTTTTATATTTTTTTAACAGTGAGAGTAAATATTAAATATTATATATTTTGGGTATTTAAAATTTTTATAAAATTAAATTAGCCAGAGTAAACTTTATAAATTCACACGGGAGGTTAATTATTTATAGTTTAACCAACTATAAGTAAATAAACTTTGATCTAATGTCTCAGAAGAAATCTATGATAAATTGTATTAATCATAGGATATGAAAAAGGTTGCTCCCTGTAAATTTTATATTATAAATATAGATATACAACCACTTCACATTGGCCTAAACGTGTAACCAAAACAGAAAATTAGATGTATATAATTCAAAACTAATAAAAAAATTTCAGTTTCACATATCCCTATGATCAGAAAACATGAGACTAATTACTCAGAAAATTTGAATGCCATTTAAGAGTTATTTTCTTTCAAATGGTGCTCCTAATACACATCTCAAAAAATAAAATCCTAAAAAATGATATTTAAAGGGCCTGGATCACTAATATCTGTATCACACCCACTTGATCTAAACTATTAAACTTTATTTTCAACAAATTAAACTCTTTTTAATTAAGTCTCACAATATTTAAATCTAGTTTGATAATACTAGTCATATTAGATAGTAATGTAAAAACAAAACATTTTTTCGTTTTTTTGGCCAAAAAAAACAGAGATTGTTACTCAAACGCCATTATTCTTTGTACTTTCTCCCATGGATATAATTCATAAATGGAAAGAGAATATAAAAAGGGAAGGATTGAAATTAGAAAGGAGAATATTAAGTCTATGAGCATCAAAAATATTATATTTAAATTAAAAATTATTGGTTATTATTAGTCAAATACATCCATTTAAAAATGTAATTTATTTTTAACTGAATTTTACCTCTCAATAAAATAGTTATTTACTTTCAAACTAACCTTATTTTTTCATATTTGCTCATATTAAACACCCTACAATAAATATAAAATCATTCATCAATAGAGATACTTTAAAAAAAAAGAACAATAATTATACCTTAAAAGATTAAAAATATCTTATATTTTTGAATATATAACTCCTTAAAATATACCTTACATTTTAAAATGAAATGAATATAAATTATATGATATGGTGCTTAAAGAGGACCTGTTAAGTTTAGATATCTATTTTTAAAAAGTTATATATATAGATATTATATCAATATATCAATCAACCATATAATTATTGCTTGAATTTTAATCATAACTTATATTGTTGCATATTTTTCACTGAAAGGAAAATATATTACTTCCTTCTGTGTTTCCAATTTTCTATTTTTTATTTCTA